TTTTTTTCTGTTTTATGTAGTTGGCAACCTATAAAGTAAAATTTAGCAAGGCATTTAAGTCTTGGTAAATTTGTTTCAGATATTATTGCTTTGATGCATAGGCGTAACTTCCTTAAGGACTGGTGTGGACATGTCCCCACCAATATTTTGTACACGTATTTTGCTTTCGGTGCTGTGTATATCTGATTAAAACCCCATTCATGCCGCTCCTCAGAAAGAAAATAAAAAAAGTTCTCCCCGCTGCTCACCGTCCACAAATCCCGACAAAAAAACTCAGAAAAAAGAATCTGTCGCCTCTCTCCCTCCCCATCACCCGTTCCGCCCTCTACACCTGTCGCTTCCCTCCAAAAATGCTAACCCATTCAGGGACAGCAGTGGACTCAGACTTGCAGGTGAGAGGGACTTGTGGAAATATTAAGACCTAATTTTAGTCAGGAGAGACTTAAAGTAGTAAAAGAATAGAGAATAGTGTAAAAATAAGTTAATACCGTATTTAAAATATAACTGAACCGTTGGAAAAAAAACTCAAACCACTTTTTTTCCGGCCCTGTTATGTCAGCTACACTAGAGTCCTGCAACGGGTCGGGTACCCGCGAAAAATATTTAGCGTGTTATGTTGACAACTCATGAGCAAGCTGCTTTTTGCAATCTATCAGGAAGGTAAGGATAGGACCTTGCAGGTGTGACGTCACTCTGCAGGGGGTCCAAAGATAAAAGATTTAAACAATTTTGGCATTGGAATTTCAGATTTAAGGGAGTTAGAAAGTTCACTTAGTAAAAGTGCAAATAATAAATCTGATTACGGATTACTTTTAAGCTGGTTGAACATACTGCGACAGACTGGTGACCTGTCCAGGGTGATCCCACCTCTCACCCAGAACGTGGCTGGAGATATGCACCAGCACCTCCTGATCCCACTGAGGGATAAGGTTAAAGAAAATAGATGGTTGAACATGGTCCGCTCTCCCAGATTCTATCAAATCAGTATTGATACCCCTGCTGGTGGATGTTCTGACAGAAAGACGGAGTTGCTTAATCATATTCTGCTTAAGGCCCCATAAGATCTTGTCCGAGTCCTGGTTTAAAAGTAAATTAATTTTAAAAAGTGACCTAAAATTGACCGTCAATAAATGTTCTACAAAATTGATATATTTATTAGATTTCTTTGATTTGTACTGTCTGTTTAGATTTATGTGATATTTTTTGCACAAAATATATAATTGAATATTGTAACAGTTATGTTTTCAACTGTAAGCATTAAATTGATAAATGTTATTCACATTTTTTTGGCTTTATCCTTTCCAACAAAAAAAAAAGGCGTCGCGCAGGTAGCTCCCTTTCCTTATGAGCCGTCCCCACCAACTTTCAACAAAAAGGTACACCCTTGCTTTGATGGTCTTAGTTCTCATTGTGGCCGACCCAGGTTCAAATCCTATCTGTGGTCCTTTGCCACATGGCTCTCTCCCCCTTTCCTGTCAGCCCACTGTACAAAAAATGAGCCACTAGCGCCATAAAAGCCTCAATAAAAAAATGTTACACATACTTTGTCTAATTTTGAGCCATTCTTTTGATTTGTGTTGTGCTATAATCCCAAACTAAAGGTGAGATGCTGTCCTTATGATCTGGGGTTAAAAAATAATGGGTACTTTAAATATGACAAGTTGCCCAAATGTTGAAGGATTGTTTATATAAACACTAAACAGGCATAATCCAGCAGGAGTCGCAAGATAGGTCAGGCAAACAAATCCAAATGGGAACAGGCAGGCTCAGTTGTTGAGAGGTAGAACAGGTCAGGACCAGGTAATCAGAAACAATAATATCCGCTAGAAAACTCACCAAGGGCTCGAATAATGTGGCACTGATGACTGGAAGACGGCAGGTTAAATAAAGACTGGAGTAGGTGAAAGAGATGAGTGGTAAGAAGAAACTGGGCGGAGCTAGGCAGGTGAATGGAATGTAAAGTAAAGAAAGTAAAGTAAACTTTATTTGTATAGCACTTTTCACAGACAAAGTCACAAAGTGCTTCACAATGTGCAATTAAGCCTGTCATCAGCACCATGATCATGACAATTATTGTGATAGTTATAATGATCTAATTGGTCATAATCAAATACTGTGAGCAGGACAGGTACACAAAGAGAATGGATTGAACTACAGAGTGTGTGTGTGTGGGTGTTGATTCAGGCATGAGTAATTGCAATGTAACTAGAGACAGTAAAAAGGAGACCTTAAGAATACACTTGTGCTCTGATTCACACCTCAAATAAGATGTATGAGTACAAGAGAAGTTACAAAAATGGCATATAATTTACAAGCCAGTGCATGTCTAATATAAGTTCAAACTCAGTTAAAGGAAAAGACCGGTCAGCAAGGAATGATCAATGGATCATTGTCTATACCTAAAATTCCTGGTGATTTAATGAATTTAGCCTTAATCAGTACAAAATATAAAAATGATCATTTCGAATCGGCGCTCCACTGATAATGGCTTCTCCTACTTGTTACACACATGATAAACTCTGAGACGTTTTACTTGGACTTGATTGAACTAATTTATAGCAGCCATTGTGAAACCGAAAACTCAGAGTTTAGGCTAGATCAATTTAGAGTTTAGGATTTCAATAAGAGTTTTTTAAACCTGCTTCATGAAATGGACCCCAGTGTTGCAGTTCCAACACTGTAAAAATGTCGGTGTTGTTGGACATTTTTGTCCGTTTGTCTCCTCATCTAAGTCATAAAGAAATTAGTTGAAATGCTAAAAATTGACTAAATAATTATAATCCAATGCAGCATTGGAGGATTTCAGATGCGAAGACTTCTGATAACTTTCCAAGAACATCTAAACCACCAAAAAATAACTAAAAACTTCCATTATATAGAGCACATTTAGTCCAAAATTGGAAATGGCAGACCATACAGCAACATAAATCCAACACAGGTTAGAGGCACTGCAGATGTCTTCCAAACTTCTGCTAGGAATTGTCCAGTGATCCTTTTTCAAAAATTTAGACCAAGTCCAGTGTGATGCATTCAACCGAAAAGGAAAACATCCTTCAGTTGGTCCTGCTTTGATTCCGTTTGTAAATAAAATAGATCAATGACGATAACAGAGCAACAACAACTATTGCAACTCTAATGTATGGCCAGATGCTTGCTAAAAAAAAGAAGAAAAAAAAGACAAAAATCATTATAAATCAGAAAATTCAATATGCACAAACAGACCATATACGCTTCCTTCTTTAGGTAATGAGGGTTAAAGGTAAATAACAGCTGTAAAAAATTATTTGGCTAATTTCCTAGAAATACAATAAAGCTGATCATAAATCAGAATGAACTATAAATGCCAAGTTCATATACACCAAAAGGCGATTGGACTTTGGACAGTTTTCTGTACCTCAACAGTACAACAGAAAAACAATCACAAAAAGTAAAACATAACTCTTAAAGAGTAAAAACAGATTACGAATACGATACTGGTAATATGTTCTAATGTGCAATTTCTATTATAAATAAATAGAGAGAGAATCCTCACCTTTGACTTGTACATTAAATTTTACATGGATAGTTTTCAGTTTGCTGCTAACAGTGCAGACATACTGTCCTTCATCCTGATAATCCACTGACTGAACGATGAGACTGGTCCCACTGCTGTAACCCTTATTGGACGGCAACGTCCAGTGGTACGAAGGTTCAGGGTTGCCCTCGGCCAAGCAGGTCAGATTGAGATTGTTTCCTCTTGTGATGGTGATTGGAGGTGGATCAGCTGAAACCTTCAGCTCAGGCCCATCTGTGTATGCAGCAAAGAGGGAAACATAATGCAAATACTATAGAACATACACTACACCTCATTCTATACATTTCAAAGGGCATCTCAGACTTCATGATGGACTTCATGTCATTTATAAAATGTATTTTCTTTAAATACATAATCTGTAATTTATTTCTAAACAAGGAATTCAAGTTAAATGGAAACTAAGCAAGTAGCTAAATACTACTAATTATGCATATATGTTGTAAATTTGTCGCTGGTAATTGCTGTTAGTTGCTCTGCTGTTGTAATAAATGTTGCTGTTGTAATAATAGATAATGAACACTTTAGCCCTTCATCTAATATTTATCTGCAGGGGCTAAATAGTAATAATAAAAGTAATGATGATGACCATTCTTGCCACTGTCCAACATTAATTCTAAGAAAAAATGAAACACAATCTTTAACAGACAAAAAGTTTCATTTTCTGCAAGCTAAACCAAAAACAGACATTATTTTGTATTTAAAACTGATTTCTAAGGAATAAACATGTCATAACAAGGAAAACTGCTTTGCTTTAAGAAACACCATAGTCTAAAATCAACCTGTGTCAGGGTTCTGCCCTTTTGGTTTCTTTGTAATTTTGTGTCTTTGTAGTTGTTTTCTAGCAGTGTTGTGTTCCTGGGTTACTCTCTCCTTTGGCTCCTCTTGTTAGTACTGTTCACACCTGCTCCATATCAGCTCATTAGTCCATTCTTTGCTCTGTTCCCCATATATACACCACCTCTGCAGTTCCTCATTGCTGCTTTATTTTTGTTTTGCTTCGTTGTCTTGTTGTATCCCATGTGTGGTCACCCTGAGGTTTACTGGATTTTTGGTTTTGAGTATTTTGATTTTGGACTTTGCTTCAGCAAAACTCATCTCTGCCTCCTGATCTCCACATTTGGGTCTGTCAATATCTGATGGGCTCAAATTTAACAGATAATGGTAGATGGGAAAAGTCAAAGAGACATTGACTTTGTTTCGTACCATACCCAAACTTGATAATTAATACAAAATACCAGCTTGAATAAAAAAGACAGATTTAATATGTACAAACACCCAAAAATTGTTTGTACGTTTGTTTTCTTGAAAAATAATTTTTTGTTTCTAAACTATCATGTATTCAATTTAGTGAAATAAGTTCCTGAAATAAGTGAACCTGTTAGTAAAATCCCAAACCTAAAGTATTTGTGTTTGTATATAAACTCACAGTGAACTGTAGCAGTGAGATAGTTTGATTTCAACACTGGAGGAGGCTGTGGTCCTTCAGGTCCCAATTCCAGTTTTGCATCACACCAGAACTGGGCTCCATTATCTTCTTTACTCGTGTGAAAACTCCAAGTAAAGATCTTATTTACTGTTTTTTTGGGGGTACTGTCGCCATGCATGCTACCCAGCTGTGTATTTCCTTTGTAAAAGGTCACAACTAGTTTTTGAATGGGAGCTACCTCTTGTACAGAGCACTGCAGGATGTACTCTGTATGCTCGGTCAGAGGTCCACTTTGATTTAAGCTGATGGAAACACTTTCTGGAGGCTCTAGAAAGATATTCAAAGAAATTATATGTGAATAATGATTGAAAGAAAACTAAAACTTTTCATCAGTAATATATATATATACACTATATTGCCAAAAGTATTTGCTCACCTGCCTTGACTCACATATGAGCTTAAGTGACATCCCGTTCCTAATCCATAGGGTTCAATATGACGTCGGTCCACCCTTTGCAGCTAGAACAGCTTCAACTCTTCTGGGAAGGCTGTCCACAAGGTTTAGGAGTGTGTTTATGGGAATTTTTGACCATTCTTCCAGAAGCGCATTTGTGAGGTCGCACACTGATGTTGGACGAGAAGGCCTGGCTCTCAGTCTCCGCTCTAATTCATCCCAAAGGTGTTCTATCGGGTTGAGGTCAGGACTCTGTGCAGGCCAGTCAAGTTCATCCACACCAGACTCTGTCATCCATGTCTTTATGGACCTTGCTTTGTGCACTGGTGCACAGTCATGTTGGAAGAGGAAGGGGCCAGCTCCAAACTGTTCCCACAAAGTTGGGAGCATGGAATTGTCCAAAATGTCTTGGTATGCTGAAGCATTCAGAGTTCCTTTCACTGGAACTAAGGGGCCAAGCCCAGCTCCTGAAAAACAACCCCACACCATAATCCCCCCTCCACCAAACTTTACACTTGGCACAATGCAGTCAGACAAGTACCGTTCTCCTGGCAACCGCCAAACCCAGACCCGTCCATCAGATTGCCAGATGGAGAAGCGCGATTCGTCACTCCAGAGAACGCGTCTCCACTGCTCTAGAGTCCAGTGGCGGCGTGCTTTACACCACCGCATCCGACGCTTTGCATTGCACTTGGTGATGTATGGCTTGGATGCAGCTGCTCGCCCATGGAAACCCATTCCATGAAGCTCTCTGCGCACTGTTCTTGAGCTACATGAAGTTTGGAGGTCTGTAGTGATTGACTCTGCAGAAAGTTGGCGACCTCTTCGCACTATGCGCGTCAGCATCCGCTGAACCCGCTCCGTCAGTTTACGTGGCCTACCACTTCGTGGCTGAGTTGCTGTCGTTCCCAAACACTTCCATTTTCTTATAATACAGCTGACAGTTGACTGTGGAATATTTAGGAGCGAGGAAATTTCACGACTGGATTTGTTGCACAGGTGGCATCCTATCACAGTTCCACGCTGGAATTCACTGAGCTCCTGAGAGCGACCCATTCTTTCACAAATGTTTGTAAAAACAGTCTGCATGCCTAGGTGCTTGAATTTATACACCTGTGGCCATGGAAGTGATTGGAACACCTGATTCCAATAATTTGGATGGGTGAGCAAATACTTTTGGCAATATAGTGTATATATATATATATATATATACATATATATATACACTATATTGCCAAAAGTATTTGCTCACCCATCCAAATTATTGGAATCAGGTGTTCCAATCACTTCCATGGCCACAGGTGTATAAATTCAAGCACCTAGGCATGCAGACTGTTTTTACAAACATTTGTGAAAGAATGGGTCGCTCTCAGGAGCTCAGTGAATTCCAGCGTGGAACTGTGATAGGATGCCACCTGTGCAACAAATCCAGTCGTGAAATTTCCTCGCTCCTAAATATTCCACAGTCAACTGTCAGCTGTATTATAAGAAAATGGAAGTGTTTGGGAACGACAGCAACTCAGCCACGAAGTGGTAGGCCACGTAAACTGACGGAGCAGGGTCAGCGGATGCTGACGCGCATAGTGCGAAGAGGTCGCCAACTTTCTGCAGAGTCAATCACTACAGACCTCCAAACTTCATGTGGCCTTCAGATTAGCTCAAGAACAGTGCGCAGAGAGCTTCATGGAATGGGTTTCCATGGTCGAGCAGCTGCATCCAAGCCATACATCACCAAGTGCAATGCAAAGCGTCGGATGCGGTGGTGTAAAGCACGCCGCCACTGGACTCTAGAGCAGTGGAGACGCGTTCTCTGGAGTGACGAATCGCGCTTCTCCATCTGGCAATCTGATGGACGGGTCTGGGTTTGGCGGTTGCCAGGAGAACGGTACTTGTCTGACTGCATTGTGCCAAGTGTAAAGTTTGGTGGAGGGGGGATTATGGTGTGGGGTTGTTTTTCAGGAGCTGGGCTTGGCCCCTTAGTTCCAGTGAAAGGAACTCTGAATGCTTCAGCATACCAAGACATTTTGGACAATTCCATGCTCCCAACTTTGTGGGAACAGTTTGGAGCTGGCCCCTTCCTCTTCCAACATGACTGTGCACCAGTGCACAAAGCAAGGTCCATAAAGACATGGATGACAGAGTCTGGTGTGGATGAACTTGACTGGCCTGCACAGAGTCCTGACCTCAACCCGATAGAACACCTTTGGGATGAATTAGAGCGGAGACTGAGAGCCAGGCCTTCTCGTCCAACATCAGTGTGCGACCTCACAAATGCGCTTCTGGAAGAATGGTCAAAAATTCCCATAAACACACTCCTAAACCTTGTGGACAGCCTTCCCAGAAGAGTTGAAGCTGTTCTAGCTGCAAAGGGTGGACCGACGTCATATTGAACCCTATGGATTAGGAACGGGATGTCACTTAAGCTCATATGTGAGTCAAGGCAGGTGAGCAAATACTTTTGGCAATATAGTGTATATATATATATATATATATATATATATATATATATATATATATATATCTTTCAGACATAAAAAATGTGACGATGAATTATATGTACTTACGGTACACAGTAACAGATAGGCGGCTGCAACACTGTTTATCATTCTTGTCAGTATAGAAGCATTTTGGTTCACTGTCCCATAATCTAAGATGGTCTACTTTCCACTTCACTGTGGTTCCATTTGTTGAGCTATATCCCACAGGTATTTCAATAGCAATAACGCTCTCCTCAACAGGAAGACAGTCCTTTTGACAAGCCACACATGTGGCAGAGGCTGGATCACCGTACTTCACCACCAGTCTAGATGGAGTCAACACAGGTTTATCTGGACAGTTGGTATCTGAAAGAAACAGATAGGATGCTAGTGTAGCAAGGTAGGCATGTTTGTATTTTACCTCCACCACAAGGACGTTATGTTTTTTCAATTTTCAATTTTTTCAATAAACATCATAATTTGGATGCAGGAAATTGTTTTAAGGATTTTTATTAATAATATTTGGTGGAAGGACAAGTTCCCCCCTACAGCGGCAGCAATGACTATAGACAGCTTCAGTATCAGACTCAAAGATGTCCAGAAACATTGTACTTAAAAACAAAAAAGGTGAGCCATGCCTAGCTCGAATCCTTTATCTGCTGATCAACAAAGAATTGGAAGTGCACAGGGGATGAAGAAGGGGAGAGAAGAACAAAAACCAGAGGCTGTCTTATTTATAAACTTAAAGAAGGTGCACCTCAAGCCAAAGAAAAAATTCATTCAAATTTGGTAAGGATCCAGATCATGTGCGAGTTTAAGCTATAGGTGTAAGTCACAAAGTGGGGTAAAATTTTCTGCTTGGCAGAGGTCTGTACTCTCCGGGGATTTTTCCAGCTTCTATTACATCTGTTAGATATTTACTTTCAGAAAAACATTAGATGGTTTCATGAATCTTGGTTTAGCTCCATTCATGGTAATTAGTCTCCTCAGTTTCCTTGATAACACAATGAAAGATAATTCTAAAAACTTTATAAATCCAACTAACTTCTAAGGAACAGAAGGTGGGTCAGGTCACAGAGGCCTCCACCTCTCACTGTTGCCCAGTCCCCTTAGCACCCACCTGTGGTGGAAAGTTTTAATCTATGAATATTTTCACGGTTTTAATAAAGATGTTTTGCATTGTCCATATTTTGTCTTAAAAGGAGGAGCATTTTGTCTTTTAGCATCTTTCTGAATCTTTCCCTACTGATCGTGCTTAGGAGTTGGAGTCAGAGAAGGTTTACAATCTGGTTCAAGAGAGGCTACACTCTCTTCTTCTCCAGAGTTGGAGTGGGTATGCTTGTCTGACCCAGCTACCTCAGTCCGGTATTAAAACCTGAAAAAGGACAGACAAAAAATGCATCTACATAGACTACCAACCAATTTTTCTTGTTTTTCCTTTTTGAATGAGACAAACCCATATTTTTCTCCTTTCAACACTGACATGTTTATTGTGGTTTTATTCAACTTCCTCCTCGAACTCCACCCTAAACTCTGCAGACTAGATTTAGAACCTGTTATCATATACCAACACATGATATGGAAATAAGTATCAGCCATCAGCCCAATTTCTGTTAAATACACGCCTGACACATTTGGCTTTGTGAAAGGCAGTGTTGTTTTCGTCAACAATGAGGATGACGAAATTATTTCGTTGACAGCCTTTTTTTCACGACAATAACGAAAACTGTCAAGCTAAACAAGGATGTTTGATGACTAAAACATGACTAGTCATAGGTTTGAGATTTTGTCAACAAGACGTGACAAGACTAAATAAAAATTAGCGGATAGTCGTTTAAAATGCATCATTGTGCTGTAATCTGCTAAGCAGTATCAGCCATGCAGCTGTGTCCTGTTTGATCCTGCCGCCCACCTGTCGTGCAGCGTTGCACATGCTGCAGGATCACAGATGGATCATGGCAGCAGCAGCAGGGTCTGAGAAATTAACCTGGAATGATCCGGTACTGCGCAATGAGCTCTGACAAACTCTACTCTGATCTTCCCTCTGTACTTGTGCAGAAATGCTTCTTTGTGCGCGGAGCTCCGAGTCGGCGCTTCACGTTCCACACTAATGGTTCGCTCTCAGCAGTATGGCTCTTCCATCGCTACTTAATAAACTATGTGGCTGATCATCCTCTGCCAAACGTCTAACTATTAATATTTCTTTTTTTCCAGATCACAAGAGGCGATAGTAAACATTCTTTAATATATACCAAAAGGAAACCCTAAATTATATCCAAAATAAAATATTTCATTGCATTCTGTTTATTTTTTTTATAAAGAGCCAGGTGAAACGTACATAGACCTTTGATCTCTCTCATAGTTCTTGTTTCTATCTATTTAAATAAGATGTGATTTTTTCCTTGTATTATCATTGAAACATTTTCTCTGTTTCCTTTTTGAATATTTAAACATTTTAGTTAGCATATTCCTTCAATTTAGGTCTGGATTGGCATGGCATTACAAGGCAATCATGTAGGTTCTCTCTGTATTTTTAGGTGAATTTAAATTATGCCAGTTTCATCATGTCCCATCAGATTCAAAAAACTTTATTTTTAGCCTGAGAAAGTCACCAAAGAGGTGGTAAAAAAACAAACAAATAAACAACAAAAAAAAACAGTATTTCAACAAATTTGCAGTAAATTGTAAAAAAAAAAAAAAAAAAAAAAAAAAAAAAATGCCGCCATAAAAGACACCACTATAAGACATTTATTCATACAGTATAATGCATGGATTTATGGGGTAAGTAGTTATCGTATTGTTTTATTAAAGTCCTCTATACATAAACAATCTGTTATTTTCTTTTAGTAAATAAAAAAGGATCTTTTTAGATATAGATTTCTTCCAATTCCACTTTTTAATGTAGGTTATATAAATGTTATTCAACAAGCTACTGCTGTGTTACACTAACCGAGATGTTTTCAGTCCTAGTTCTCAAGCCACACTCGACTGATGTTTTTGAGAATAGAGCTGAAATAAAGAAATGACCGATTTTAAGAGATACCTTTTAAATATTTAGAAACTTTATTGTAACTCAAAGTGAGAGTAAGCAACAATATTTTGGAAATACTGCAGTAATCTATTATAAAGTAACAAAACAAGTAAGTCATCAGGAATAGCAGGACCACGATTAAGTTAGATCCAATAATAAATATGTAGAATCTATTTGCAAAGATGTGCTGAGTGTGAAATTAAAAGAATAATTGAGAAACCTTCTTAGATTAAGGGTCTCCCTGAAAAAGGTTATCTTGAACTTTTTAACTCAGCAAAAGTGGAAGAGAAAATCCCCGATTAAGGGTGGAAAACTCACCACATGAAGATGCATGAAAACACTGCAGAATAATCAAAAAAGAAGTCACCAGAAATATGCAGCTGGAAAACATGTTGATGTTTTTCTATTAAATTAATTTGAGGTTTCGGAGAACAAAAAACAGCCCTAAGCAAACAGTGTTAAGCTGAGGAGCTGACCTGAAACTAAACAGCTTCAGCTCCTTCAGATAAAAAAGGGAAAATGCAGAGGGGAGGCACTCTGTAAAAACAAAAAGTGCCAATGTAGTAGATGACAGTGGTGTGTGTTTGAAAGAAAGCGGAATTGAAACTGAAGTTCTGGGCTGTAGCCTATTTCAGGAGCACATAGTCTCTGATCATATATTCTAAGAAACCCTTTTAATTGCAGCAATGGTTAAACGCTGACCTGACTCACAATATTTTATCTCATAACAGATGCCTAATGAAACAGAAACAGATTTTTTTTTTTATCCAGAGTGTGTATCAGAAATGCATTAAACAAGACAAGAGACATAGGTGGAACTAAACTTTATTTAAATAGTGTCCACATTGACATTTTGATTAATACTGTTGCATAAAAAAGAGGTTTCCAAAAGTTATATTAAATGGCGCATCCTGGAGCTAGTTAACAGTTACCTTTTGCAGCTTTGCTACTTTCTGTACGTCTAGTCCTATCTCTTTGAACCCTTGTCAGCCTCAGTAGATGGCCCTTCACACTGAGCTTGGTTCTGCTGGAGGTTCCTTCCTGTTAAAAGGGAGCTTTTCCTCTCCACTGTCACTACAAGTATGCTTGGTGTGAGGGATTGCTTTCCGAGTCAATGATTTGCAATCAGCTGGTTTTCCTTAGGAAGAGAACTTTGAATCAATTTGACTGTATGATCTGTTTGGATTTTCTCTGTAAAGTGCCTTGAGATCACATGTGTTGGGGGTGGGCACTTTTTAGCGCACGTGGAACACTTAATTATAAAAAAAAAAAAAAATACACACGCATGTTGAATGAATTTTGACTTTTATTTGTAACATTCTCTAAACGTGAGTTTTCAATGGAAAAAAGTCGCACCACCAACAGAACAGACTAAAGCGTACTACTTTAAAGTAGTACGCTTGTTCAACTTTCTTCTTCTTTCATCTGGCTCATCTCCCTGTTTTCCCTCACCCATCTGCTCTCCTTCATCCATCTGTTCTCCCTCATCCTGGTCTTTTTCTGTCTCTGTGTCTTCCCTGAACTCTTCCTCATCTCCTGTCCTGGTAGATGTTGATGGTATAGAGCTTCCCTGCTGTGACTGGCTACAATATAATAATAATACCATCATGACAATAATAATGATAATAATAATAATAATAGCTTTAAAAAATATGCCACAGTAGTTTAAATAATGGGCTAATAGGGCAACATGACTGGAAGTCTTGTCACATGGATATGACTTATGGTAGCCTACTAAATAATAGCTATTTTAATACCTGCTGATTTTGTACAAACCACTTAAAAATAAAATGTGAACAGCTTTTAAGATTTTTCAATACGATTAACCCTACTTTCTTGGCATTGTGCTTCAATTACTAAATCAATATACAATTAAGACAATAAAGAGACCAAAATGTGTTTATTTATGTTGCCTAACAAAACCTATACAACAGAAAACGTTTGTCTTAACACATATATTTGCAATTGCAAACTCTACCGAAATTATTTGTAGCCTATGTGGTCGTCCTCACGTTATCTGTCATTGACTTGGGCTACAGTGTAAAACTTTATCTAGCCTAACTAGTTTATCAGGTGACCAGTTGGCAAAAAATGCTTGTTTGGTGCTGCTGAATGAGAGATTTTAATGCACAACAAAATGATTTTGCTTGATCTGTGTATTACCTGGCTAATGGGGTGGGGAGAAGCAGCCTGTCAGTGACCGTTCCTGCTATCTGAAGACGCTTACTGAACTGCTATGATGCTGCGCATCTGGCATGCCCTGCGGGCGACCGCGTGAGTTCACGTGACAAATGAAGAGAGATACGCTGGTCGGGTGTGCGCAAGGAGGTGGCTC